TCGTCCCATGATCAATCTCATTACTACTTCATATTAAAATAAAAGCGAAGAAAATCCCGGGAAGTCACCACTCTGAAAGAAAGTTGACAAACGGACCCTAATTATACCACAATAATTGTGGGAGCCGGCTTGCACGGTGTATACCGGTATAATTTGGCGCTCCCTTTGAATAGAAGGATCGATAAATAATGGCGTGTAAATAGGCTATTTCCGAGTCAGTGCCTTAAGCCTATTCATGTTTCCGTCAAAGCGAGGCTAGGCTATGTGGAAAGCTACTTATATGAAAATGATTTGTTATTCTCATTCTAAAACTCATTTCCACCAGAAAGGTTTTGCAGTTAGTTTCGTTTTGAAAGTGGGAGACTTTAATTTGGAACTTGGAAAAGGCTATTGGCCGCTGACAAATCGTACCACGTAAACAGCCTTCCTTGGCTTACACCTAGCGTGGTTAAACTCTGGTAACCATGGTACAGGTCTGGCACAATGTCTTTAACCAAGCTAAATACCTGCGTGATTTGATTTCAACCACTTCATTTCTGTGTGTATTTCTCACCTATGAAGCTTTGTCATCAATGCAATGAATAATTCTTGCCGGGGAAAAAAGGAAATTATCAGAGCCCAGATGGTTTGGAAATCGGATTCTTATGTTTTTAGTTATGCGAGCTCTGCTTTGAATTTCCTTCTCGAGAATTATTTATGATTTGAGAAACTGCATCCCACATATCTGGTATCGCGACATCTCCAAGTCGCTTTAAAAATGATTTCACTCGTTTTTACTTAAACAGTACAGTTCTAGTAGTATCAACTGAACGTTTATACTTCCCTTATAGGCAAGGACTCTGGGATACAAAACCTCGGAAAACCGAAGAAAACTGAAGAAAAGAAGCGAAATGAAACTGTTTTCAGTGCTACCATTATTTCTCTCAATCAGCTTATGCTTATGCTTATCAGGTACTATGTATTTCATAAATCAGTGTATGAGAACTACAGACCCTTCCAGTTCCTCTAACAAGATGCATGGGAGAAACGAAACTGGGGCGGATTAAAGGAACTGTTTCACTGTAGATTTTAGTCGTTTTTGCCAAGTTTTGCCAGCTATTGCTAAGAAACTGAAAATCAAGGAAGAAATTACTTCCAAATGACAAATTCATTATTTCTTCATAGCAATAATGTCTTAGTCTCAAAGATATACAAGGTGAAAAAAGCAACGGATATAATTTTTGAAAAACTCATGGTTTAATAGGCTGAGAAACAAAACCAACTAATTTCATTGATGCGAAATCTTTTGTATGCATGTATTCAAGTGCGTAGTTTGGTCAGCCAGTTTAATTTAGTAATGGCTGAATTATGCTAATCTGGCGAAATCTGGGCTCAATTTCGCGACACAGGCCTCTTGGTTCTTGACATGCCGCTGAGAAATTTGTCTCCGCTCGTTATTTTATTATGTTATTTTTTTATTTGAGCCGTTGTTGATTGATGGAGAAAGTTGAATTTCAAAGATCCCAACTGATAGCCAAAAAAGTAAGAAGTAAGTACTGTTCTATTTAATTTTAAGGCGTCAAACTTAGGTCCACCTTTTGCTGCCTAAACTTCTTTTCTCTGTCTAAATCCGCGCCGCTATTTTTGGATAGAGTTCTGATCCCTAGCTGTATTTTTCTATCGGCATTTTAACGTCGTTCTCCTCCTTGCCTCTTCCCAAGACTGCAATTTCGTAATTTCACATGTGAAAATATGAAGTAAACGCTAAAATTTCGAGCTAAAATTAAGGTGCAATTTGTCACCCACGACATTGTTTTAATTGTTCAGGCCATAAATACCAAGTCTAACGCTGGTTAGTCCGACCATGATTCAACCCATTTCAATTTCTTTTAGGTTGTCCCAAAGGTTGGACGCAGTTTAAAGGCTACTGTTACCTTGTGGGGGGCTCCATTAAGACCTGGGACCAAGCCCAAGAGTTCTGCAAACATCGTGGAGGAGAGCTAGTGAAGATAAATAGCTTCGAAGAAAACGAGTTTGTACTCAAGCTCGTTAACCAATGCGATCCACCTCTTAAACAGGTTTGGATCGGACTCAGATGGAAACCTTACTCCAAGACGTTTCTCTGGTCTGATAACTCGATTCCATTCTTCAAGAATTGGGCTCCTCATGAACCGAATGGAAAAGCCAGCGAACCTTGCGGCCACATGTACACGGGGCACAGGGACCCGATCTATCGTCCGTCGGGTTCCTGGAATGATCTCCCTTGTGAGGGCGTACCCCATCTTCCCAATGGTCTTGTCTGCAAGAGGCTGCACATGGTATGCTCTTGATTGCTGATAAGGAAACTACACTCACACGATCAAAGCCGAAGTTAGTTGACGGGATTTCCCTTCTATAGTGTAAACGTAGCGCTCGTCCTTTGATTCATGTATGGACAATATGTCCATGTAACCAAGCTAATAAAAAAAGAGAAGTGTTTAGATGTAAAATAATGCAATGGTGGCTTGAAAATTAAACAGAGATCGTGAAGATGATTGTCCTTTTCTCTCTAGTGAATTACCACTAACTATTTTCTTAAAATAGGGCTGAAGCCACGATTTTCCTTAGCAGGCGAAATTTCACACAATCCACAGTTACATGACTTACCTCTCAGATCCCATCGTTTCCCCATCCTCTGCTTACAATTGCTTTCTCATCCGTATGGTGAGGTTAATCAGGCGTGGATCTATGGGGAGGGTGTAGGGGGTGTTCTCTCTTGCGCCCTTCATTGAGATGACCTGTGGCTTTCTAATACAACTGGTATTCTGTATTAAAATTTGTTTACTTCCGGCCAGTCAGTTACGCCATTCCTTCGTGGTGCGCCTCCTCCTAGGAAAAATCCTGGACCTGTTAGTTTTTATACATTTTTATTTGGTTAACCGCTTAGCAACGGCAAGTTAGTAGCAAAAACCCGCATTTTTCAGCTTTCTTGTTTAGCAACCTTTCTTTTTGTACTGGTTTTCGAGATAGTCCAGGATTGAACTCTAGATGTTACGAAATTTGCAAAGGTCACAAAATTTTGCAAGAGTGCTTCGACAACTGCAAAAATAACTAAAATAACGAAGTTTTGCAAGGCCATTAACGAGAAGTGACGAGGAAATGAAAAAGAACGCCGAGGAAGCCCTCGACGAAACAGCGAAATATTTATTTATTTACCTATATCAAGAGAGGATAAAAGGGAAAGAGAGGGCATCCCCCATACACACCCTATTCCATAGGTAATTCGTCTCGAGTTATTTTTAACACCACAGATCCCAAGGGGGATTAGACAACAGCCAATCACATAGCGTGAATGTGTTCCGCGTGGATGACCCACGCTCAGAGCCACGCGTCCTTCACGAATTGACGCTGGAAAAAATGGCGGAAACGACTAAAGAGAGATCTCTACTAAAGCGGTGTCAGCGAAATGGAAATTTAAAAAGAATCGCCCTTCCTCTCTTGTATAGAGCTAACAGTACAGCAGGGAAATCCTTAAGACACTGAATATTCTCTCAGGATCATTTATAATTTACAGTTTCAAGAGAGCAATTTCTGGTTTGATATTTATTCTTTTATTAGTCTGTTATTATTCAACAAAAATAACACTTGGCGTCCTACTTGCTTTATTGTACAAACCGCCGGTCTCAATGGACCGGCGAAATTTCTCATTTTATTAAAGCACTGAGTTTAGGACAACTTCGAGTTAAACTGATTTCACGGGTTGTCAAAGAGTCCAGCGATTCCCTTTTCCCACGTGAGCGCCGACTCATTTCGCTTCAATATTCAGAAATGCTCGCGATCTCTTTACGCTTTCATTGCCTTTCGCCCGACAAGTTTTGCACGGCGTTTAGTCATGCGAGACCTCCACGAAATATCCACGCAGCGCACGAGGTAACTGTAGTATCGATGATGTAATTGTGTACGGTCGAAATGAGTTATCGGTAATTAAAAAGCACATGGTCAACTGTCGAGTTGAATCTGTTGTTGTGTGCATTTATTTTGGTTAAATCCGGATGTTTCACTGACCGTGAAACACTACAATTGGCGACGAGGATAAAGTGATCCGAAGATACGTCTGTTTGAAGGAAAGTTATGGCGACAAATGACGAACTTCGCGGAATTAAGCCATTTGATTGTCGAGGAGATAGCAGGAGGGTGGGGCCAAGATGGCGGCGATGGCGAAAGTCATTTCAATTTTACGTCGATGGTCGTGGAATCACAGCAGCCGCTCGAAAAAAGGCGTTGCTTTTACATTGCATGGGGATTGAAGTCCAAGAAATCTTTGAAACCCTAACGGATCCAGGTGCACCTGCAGGGGAAGACGACGATGCATACACGGCTGCACTTCGAACACTCGATGCATACTTTACACCACAAGTGAATGTACCATACGAGCGACACATTTTTCGCCAAATGAAGCAAGAAGAGCATGAAACGGTCGATCAATTTGTTGTAAGGCTCAGTAATCAAGCTGCGAATTGTGAATTTGGTGCTACGAAGAATGAGCAAATACGTGATCAAATCATTGATAAGTGCAAGTCCACAGAGCTTCGGCGAAAACTTCTGGGAAAGGGACAAGAGCTAACATTGGCAGACACGCAGAAGATTGCTCGATCGTTGGAGTTATCTCAAACCCAAGCCAAACAGATCGAAGGTGATGTGGGAGCGTCTGTTAGTGCCATCAAGGAAGACAAAAAACCTGGAGGAAATGGGAAAAGTGATCAGTAGAGTCTGAAATGTTACCGATGTGGACAAAGTGGACATTTCGCACGTGACAGGTATTGTCCGGCAAGATCTAAAACCTGTACAAAGTGTCACATGGCAGGACATTTTGCTTCAGTCTGCAGGACAAAGAGTAAACAAGAGAAGAAGAAAAAGGACACACGGAAACAAGGTGGACGAGGAAAAGTCAACTGCGTGGAGGATGGTGAAGATGATGAATATGCTTTTACTGTGGGACTCGGTAAAACATGGGACAGGAGTGGATCAGAGATAGTCGATTTACAAGTTGGAGGTGTCATTCTTAATGGAGTTCTCATCGACTCAGGATCATCATGTAATATCATTGATCAGAAGACGTAGGAAGAATTGAAGCAAAAAGGAGTAAAGTCCAAGTCAGAAAAGACAAATCAGAAATTGTATCCTTATGGAACTTCAGAACCACTGGACACACTGGGAAAGTTCGAAGCATCAGTAAACCTAGCTGGAAAAGATGTCACAGCTGAATTTATTGTCATCTGCAATGAAGGCAGGCCAATAATGGGCAGGAAGACAGCCATGGAATTAGATGCACTAAGACTGGGACCACAAGTTAATTTTGTAAGTACACCAGACCTTGTTGATAAATACAAAGCATGTTTTGAAGGAGTGGGCAAGTTAACTGATTATCAAGTTAAGATCCATGTGAATAAAGAAGTCAATCCAGTTGTTCAGCATCCCAGGCGAGTGCCATTCAGTCTGAGAGAGAAAGTAGAGAGCAAGTTGCATGAGTTAGAGCAGCTGGACATTATTGAGAAAGTGAAAGGACCAACACCGTGGGTCAGCCCAATAGTAGTAGTTCCCAAACCTTCTGGTGAGATTCGATTGTGCGTTGATATGCGCAGAGCGAATGAAGCTATTGTGAGAGAAAGGCACCCAATTCCCACTGTTGATGAGGTCCTCCAGGCCATGACCCAAAGCAGTCTGTTCTCTAAGTTAGACCTTAAATGGGGCTATCATCAACTGGAACTGAGTGAAGAATCACGTGACATCACAACATTCATAACACATGCTGGACTTTATCGTTACAAGAGATTAATGTTTGGTGTAACCTCAGCTCCTGAGATCTATCAGCATGCTATCCAGCAAGCTCTGCATGGATGTGAAGGAGTGCGTAATATATCTGATGATATCATTCTTCATGGTAAAGATGACCAGCAACATGATGAGAGGCTCGAGAAGCTGCTAGAAAGATTACAACAAAGAGGTTTGACCTTGAATAGTGCGAAGTGCAAATTCAAGATGCCCCAGTTAGAATTTATGGGATACCTATTGTCTACACGTGGTATTGGACCGACAGAATCCAAAGTTGAAGCAGTAGTCAACGCCAGAGAGCCTGAGTCTGTAGCCGAAGTGAGAAGTTTTGTGGGACTTGTGAATTTCAGTGCAAAATTCATTCCAAATCTGGCCACAGTTTCAGAACCACTTCGACAGCTGACACGAAAAGGTGTGACCTTCAAATGGGGCCAGAAGCAACAAGAAGCGTTCAAAGCTCTGAAGGAAACACTAGCAAGTGCAGAAACATTAGCTTACTATGACAAAGATGCCAAAACAAGAGTCATTGCTGACGCAAGTCCAGTTGGACTGGGTGCCGTTCTTGCTCAAGAACAAAATGGCAATGAATGATTTTCCAGTAATCGGAGACTTAGTTATGCGCACAGGATTATGGGATCGCCAGGGGGCAAACATTGGAAATCGCTACAAAGAAATGTATGGCGTGGAGCTGTTTCTCCGTTTAAGACCAGTGTCTTTGGAGAGAGAATGCCGCATTTTGCCGTGATTTTATAAGAAGCGGAGGTGACTAATGTTGGTGCGTTGATTGTAAGTTTTTGTGGGATCAATGCAATGAAATCTATCGATAAACGCTCCTTCTTGCGAAAGGTCGACTGTGAAATTTACTGAATGGTCTCGAAATATATAGTACCTAACTTACCAGGTATAAATGAGCGGGGAATGTGGACTCATTTATTAAACCTTTCCAGTTGTAAGTACATGTGCTGATATTTACAACGAGTGTAAAAATTTTACGTTCGGCTCGGCGGCGATCACAACGCTGAGCCAGTTTGTGACAACGATCGAAGGTAAGCTTATGTATTGTCGAATTTGATATGTATTAACTTTAAAAGCAAAACATCTTCCCCACATTAATATATTGATTCCTTCTAGCCAAAAAAACACAAGCGAAATGTTTTGTCATGATCCAGAGCACCAATTAGTTCTAATGCCTTTTCTGATCATTTTGAGGGAAGATATAGAATCTCTGAATTTCGCACATCAACTTGGTATTTATTTACACGGCTCACTGCTTTTGTATCGGAAATCTTACTAGTTCGTACGATTTCTGCGTCATCTACTAATGGTTAAATACCATGTACTTTCCATGAAATATTTCGTAGATGTTACTTTGTTTATACCAAAGTAAAGGAGGATTTTTTATTTTTATGGCCACGTCCTACGATTGTTGAGCGTCATAACCCGCACAGAGCTGATCGCGGCCGAGCGTAGTTACACTCGTAAATATCACCACACGTAATTAAAACTAAAAAGCTTAAATGAGCCAATCCCCCTACATGTATACCTAAGTTTGCACTATATATTTCGAGACCTTTTCTTCATGTAGATCACTGTGTAAATTCAGTAAACATAAATTTCACACTCAACCTCACGCAAGGAGTGTTTATCGATAGAATTTATCGCATTAATCACACAGAAACTTGAATTTTCAACGCACCAACATTAGTCACC